GTTGGCACTTTGAATTTTTTTCCATTTCTAGTTAATCGGTGTTTCTTTGACAAGTAAAATTTGTAAAAGCCTGGAAATTTTATTTGAAAAATAAATCACTGATTTCTTCATTTTAGAAGACAGATTTTGATATTGAAATAGCAAAGGGATAAATGCTAGAGAGCTTCAGAGACAAGCGTTCGCTTGGAAAATTCAATGCAACGAGTGTGAAGTCTCTGAGCGCCCTTTGAATTGTGATAAGTAAAAAAAATTGGAGGTTATTTGAAAGTTCAAGAGCTCTCAGGTACTGGGAAATATTGGAAAGTACGACGGAGATTTTGTCGCGAGGGAGAGTGGAAAATATTTTCAGCTATCATACGGAGGCTAATACCGAAGGAAACTTATACCTCTCTGTTCGATACTTTTAAGAGAAACAATTTCTAACATTGAGATATCCACTGTCCCTTTCCCTCTCTTTCTGTGAAAGAGCGAGAGAGGTATTTCTAAAGACACGCAACACAGCGAATTGAGGTTGTAGCCGACTTATTGTTAGAGATAAATCGATTCGCGATATTTCTGCGCGCAGGCACGGGTACGAGGTTCTTAAACCTGATTCGTTTTTAAAGTTCGACGCGAGCTTAAGTAGTTGGGGTTTATTGGACTGTGCCAGTTTTTATACCGTTTTCCCTTAAGTTATAAGCGTCGATATTAAATATCGACCTAGCCTTTCTCGTATGCAGCGTGTTTAAACTAGCACGACATCATTGTGAGATAAAGTTCGACGTCTACAATAACCTCGAAGGGTGAAGAAGAAGAGGGGTTGGTAATAGTATTTTACAAGATCGCTAATAAATTGCAAACAGGGAATATAAAATTGCCAGGGTATTAGGCAAGATTGGGATAACTTCTTCCTCTCTCTCTCTCTATCGTTTTTCACAAGCGCAATATTTCCTTTGCTCGTATAAGAAGAATCTCGAAATATGAAAGAATATTAAGTTCGGGGATCAGGAGAAGCAATTCGTATCAGAGGATATTTCGAAATATCAGCTCGAAGATACTGCATGGAAAATTTGTCACTGAAAAGCTTTGGAGATTGCTTCTCCTCGGTGTGTATAGGGACGCTAAGGTGAAATTTATAATAACGACGGTATAAAAAACGAAAGAAAAAGAACGGAGAGATTAACGATCACTTGAAAACAACTTTTCTAAATAACCGATTATCATTTTAATCGATATACCTTCGTGAATTTCACATTTCAATTTCCATAATCTCTATTTCTTTGCTGTAGAAAGAGTTTGCCCAATGTGTACAAACAATTTTATTCATCGCATTACCCTCTGTTTGTTTATCGTGATTGAACACATTGATTGATATTATCCGGGAGATAACAGATTTGATTGCGTTGCGCAAGAAATATTTTTCATCGAGAACCACGTTTTCATCCACCGTGCTGCGATTATGAAATAAACGGTTAGAAACGTTGGAAATGAACAGATTCGTCTGTTTTTTTCAATTTAACCGAGCATCGGTGACGTGTAGCCTCCTCTCTCCTTCGATGATTCATTATAACGTAGGCAGTTTCCCTGTCAAATTCCAGGTTTCTCTTAGTTTGGACTCAAAACGCTACCCTGCTCGCGAGAATTTAAACACGCAGACCCGATTTTTCAATTTAACCGAGCATCGGTGACGTGTAGCCTCCCTCCTTGCATGATTCATTACAACGTAGGCGGTTTCCTTGTCAGATTCCCAAAACGCTACCTTGCTCGCGAGAATTTAAACACGCAGACCCGATTTTTCAATTTAACCGAGCATCGGTGACGTGTAGTCTCCCTCCTTGCATGATTCATTACAACGTAGGCGGTTTCCTTGTCAGATTCCCAAAACTCTAACCTGCTCGCGAGAATTTAAATACGCAGGCCCGATTTTTCAATTTAACCGAGCACCAGTGACACATAATCCCCTTCTATCTTAAATTAAAGTCCAAGAGCAAAGCAATCAAATTCCTTCGATTTAACGGTGAAAAGTGGGAAGTTTCGACGGTGAAAAGAAGGAACATAATTTTCAGCAGAAACACCATTTCACACGCTACGCGTTTTCTTTCTCTTCACACGATCGTACGATTCGTAACAACCCAATCAAAACAGATTACCATCATCACGCTCCCACCTCCCTTCTACCTACCCCCAGAATATTCACAATCCATCAATTTTGTCTACAAGCTCGGTTAAAACCGTCGCCTCCTAGATTCTCACACATGCCTGAATAGAGCGTCGGCGAGGGCGGTTCGAATGATCATCGAGCTGTCGAACAATATCGAATATTAATATTTCCTGCGAAACTTCATATAGCCGGGCGCGGAGAAGGCGGATTCGACAGTCGCTTTCAGGCTATAAAGCTCCGGGCCGGAAGTTCTGTTATTGACTGATAGCCTGTCATCCCGATAACTGCGTCCCGTGTAAATAATTTATCGTGACGGGAACCAAAATGGAGGAAACGAAGCGGCATCGGCATTGATACTGCGCGGCGCCGCACGATTTTCATCCCCGGGAATTGACGTTTCACCGATAAACTTCCTTTACCGCCACTTGGACGAATCTCCCGTGATTCTCTTCCTGTTCTCTCCCTTCTCACCCTATCTGTCTCTTTATCTGTCCGTCTTACTTTTCGCGAACGCTCGCCCCGTGCCCATGATTTCGCCGTGGCTCGTTTCACGACACAGCCACAGCCGCCAAGCTTTTTAAGCTTGATCCTTTTAATTATCGAACTGGTCGAGCCTGCGAAGGAGGCTGTTCGACGGGGTAAATACACTTAACAGCTCGGTTACGGTTTCTTCGCGACGAAACGCTGGCAATAATTTTCGCACCCCTTTTATCAGCGCGACGCTCCTTTGCGAGCGACGACGCGAGATCTTTGGACGGATGGGGAGAAAACGCGAACTGGAAGACGAGAACGTCAGTCAGGATAGGATATTTTGTTTGGTTGTTAGAATTTTCTGTTTTTTTCGTCGCGGTTTGATATTTGAACTTTGGTTTGCTGTTGGGGGTGGACAAATTGGAATTATGGCACTTTGTGTGGCTTTTGGTTGTACTAGGAGTGCTTCTCTGAAGGAATTGGAATTGAATATTTGGAATTGCTGGTTTCTAGGGATTGTTAAGAAATGTTGCGCTGGAAATTAGAAGTTCGTGTATGTCTTACTTAAACTGCAATAATTATAGGTGGCTGTCTTTTGATTTGACTGACAGTGAGATGGATGGTATCAGAGTTGAAAAACTTTGATAAGAATTTTTGATAAGATGGCAGTACATTGTTTTGTAACACTCTGACGATGAATAATTAAAAGTATGAAAATCGAAGAAAATTTCTTGTAATCCTAGGAAATCTATCGAAAATCTTCCGTAAAAGAAAATCACCCAATTTTGATAAATTTTCTACTTTTAATAGAACCTTGACTCAACTTTTCCCCGGGAAAAAAGTGTTGCATTTAAAACAGCAGACTGTAGAATTCACGTTTTCACATGACAATTGACATAATTCTATTCAACAACCTCACACAATTTTTTTATTTCCTGTGTAACATTTCTGAACGTTCCCTTGTTAGTCGTAATAATTTCTCTGGAAGAAGTACCGTAAAATGGTACAGGTTAAAGGGAGAGAAAAAAGAAAAGAATGTCTTAATGAACATTGATCTCGAAACGACTTGCCGCGAAATAAGTACGCGAAGAGTGGCGGGGGGGGTGGGTGCTCGACGTTGCGCAAAACTGGACGGTTCGAGAGGTCTTGAAGGGGGCTTGCTTGAGTACGAGGAAGTTTGTGTTCGAGGAATGGAACTCGAAGAAGAGTGCGCTCCTAAGGGGTGAGTATAATGGTTTTTATTTGGAGGCGAGCTTTTTGCGAGGAACGTGTTGCTCTGAACGTCGTCGATTTTGTTTGAAAGAAAGATTGTGTTTTAACCAGTCGTAAATTGTGGAAAGATAAAATGTACAGAAAGAGTTTCAGCTTTCTTTCAACTTCTATAATTGAAATTATCTGTATTCTGCGCTCGAATTCTTTTGGAAATTCTAGGAAAATCGATCTCGGTGCGATGTAATAAAATCGATGCATCGATATTGCATGCTTATTTTTCTTTTGCAGAAAGTTTCATTTGGGAAATATCACGGTAACTTTGTACTTAATATTAGCATAGAATTTTGCAACTCTCGTTTCTGGTTTTCTATCAATTATTATGTAATACGAAACAATTGATGGAAACCTGAGAATCTAAATTTCTGTTTTTATTTTTTAAGACACATTACGTGAAAAAATATTAATCGATAATACAGAATTTCCTAATAAGGTATCTGGGTCATTACTGACCCAAGCAAAGTTTCGCTCTCGCATTTCTCCAAAAACAACGTTATTTCCATCGAAAAAGAATTCGAACACAGCAGATACTTCGATAAGTATCCCAGAATGTTCCCAGATTTTTAAAAAGCCCAGAGCACTAAAAAAAAAAAATCAAAAAATAGACAAATACACAAACGAGCCAGTTCGAATTCGCAATAAAATACGAAACATCGTCCCTCCTCTCCGTCGCAACTCATCGATCATCATAATAACAACGTTCTCGCGTTGTTTCTCCCTCGAACCGTCGAATCGCAAGATTCGCGAACGAAAACCGTTATAATTCTCCGACGGTATTAAAACCAGAGTCAAAACCGTGTTTCGCCGAAGTATGCGAAACTTTTGGAAAAGTAAGAAGTGCCCGGGTAAGAGGAGCGAGGTTCGGCAATAGAGGTGGTGGGTAGAATTCGATACGCAATCTCATGTTCGGTTATACGATCCGAGAGTTAGTCGGAATAAACAAAAGTTTACGAAGTTACCGACTTTAATAATGTTACGTAACTTAAAGCGAGGCCGGATATTGTTTCGGCGAAAAAATAATAAGAAACGGTGCGGTGGCCAGCGAACGATATCACGCGAGAACGACGCGATAGAAGGGCTGGCTTAATAAGGGGTGAAGAGGAAAGAGAGAGAGCCTTACCGTTTCCTTCTTCCTTCGTGCTGTCTCGAGGGTGGACTCGAACCAGGACCATTGACCGAAAGGATCCTGCGTGTTATCGATCGTGCTGCTTCCGGAACGGTGCAGCATGCGGTCGTCGAGCGTGTTCAGCCACAAATTCGTGTTGAGGAAGATGATTCGATACTTTTCTGAGCGCTGCTCTATCGTGTAATATCCGGCTGTAACAAGTGCACGAAATCGTCCGATGAGTTTAAGCCGCCGGTTTATGCGGAATACGCCCCGCTCTCTTTTCTTCCGCTACCGATCCACTTCCGCAATTCGTTCGGACCGCCCCGCTGTTATTGGACTTTTATTGAAACGACGGGAACAGAGAGAGAGAGAGAGGCTGGCGAGCGGCGGCGTTGTTACGCGGAGAAATTTCTCTTTCGCTCGTGGGAGAGGTGCGTTTGAATTTTATTTCGCTAGGCGCGCTCCTAGGAATTTCTGGTGATGTATAGGCGACACTACTCTTGGGAGAAATGTCACCGGTCGAAGTCGTGAAATTCCTGGGGAGAGCGAAGGGAAGAGTTCTGTTTGGAAAATTAAGTTAATTGCAGCAATGTGAAATGGACATCGGTTAGAATTTATTTGCTTGTAGTGTTATTGTTCAATTTTTGATTGTTTTCTTTTTTTTTTGGAAGTGTTGGGGAATTAAATGTAGAGTAACTTTGAGTTAGTTTTAAAAAATTGTTTGGAATAATGGCTATTCTTTGTAATAGCGCAATTTATCGAAGAAATGATTTCAGTAGTAGAGGTCAATGATTCGCGCATTTTACGGAAGAAGATATTCCAAAGATGATTAAATATTATTGTATAACTTTTGATATCCTTTTTTTAAATGGAAGTCTTAAGTATTATAGAAAAGATGACAATTTTAATAGTAGGAAGATAACTTGTTTGATTGAAATTACTTTCTACTACTGTGCAAGAAGTCGTTTAAGGAGAATGGGTCAACGATTTTTCTTAAATATTATTTACACGTATTTCAAAGATTATTAGTAGGAGATATTCCAAAAAAAATTTCACTTCTGGCACTTTTCTCGCGTAGCTGCGATGTGTGTGTCTGTGTAAATGGCGGCTGATTGGAGGGATGCAGTGTGTTTGACGAGAAGAGTATTGGGGAGGTATTGATTTTCAGCGTAAATAATGAACGTGAATGGGATCGTACAGTTTATTGTAACGATTGTTAGGGTAAAAATCTACTCGACAGTGAGCTTGCAAGTTACTGTTCGCTGTGTGGTGTTTCAAATCGATTCTGAATAGAAAATAAGTGGAGAAAGGGAAGTAAAAAATTTTTGGGTACGGTAAAGGTTTGATATTCTTCGAATAGGAAAGGTGAGGTACTGAATAAATTCTTCTACTTCTTCATTTATAAGCTATTTAAAAAAAAAATGAAAATGAAAACGAGCAAGAAAAGAAAGTACGTAATTTTACAAAATAAATATGAATTCCCTGTTGAAACAGGAAGAGGAAACATCGCAGCAACTAATCAAAACTGTTTATTTATTTTACCATTTCATTCTGTAATTTCAAAAGCAAAATGAAAAATAACAGAAGGGAAGTGAAATGTTTCCTTCTGGCAACCCCATCAAAACAATTCATCCATATGAAACATACGTTTTGCCAAAAGGTACAGCCTTAAGTTTCCGTCCCTTTGCTTTCGATTTAATCCGCTTTCCGACCTGTTCGCCATCGCGAAATGTGCCACAGGCTAGAAATTTCTCTCTGCGGAATCGGAGGGAGGAAAGGACGGAAAGAGAGAAAGAGAAAGAAAGAGAGAGAAAAAGGAAGATCTTCGAAAAATAGGAGAAGAGAGAAAGGAAGGAAGATCTTGGAAAAATAGGAAAGGAGAGAAAGGAAGGAAGATCTTTGAAAAATAGGAAGAGAGAGAAAGAAAGAAACATCTTCGAAACATAGGAAAAAAAGGAAAAGAGAGAAACAAAGAAATATCTTCGAAAAATAAAAAAAGAGAAAAAAGGAAGATCTTCGAAAAATAGGAAAACTAAGGAACAGAGGAAGATCTTCGCAAAATAGGAAGATCGAGCAGCTATGTACTTCGATATACGTACCCGTTTTGAAGGTGTCCAAAGCTTCCTGCGGCAGCCATTGCTGCCAGAGTACGGCGAGCTGTGAGAAGCTCACTCCAATGTCGTCGTGTCCAAGCGCAGGAAACACAAATTGTTCCTTAAACGTGCGGGACAACAGATCGGTCAAATTCCGCAAACACTGCAGACGCAGTTCGGGGCTCATGCCAGTAGTGCGCGTCAGCGCGTCACTGCAACAAGTAGTTACAGGCTCGTTAGTGTACTGGTTACATACGGTCTGGTAAGGCCTGCGAGAATTACTCCGATTCCACTGGTCAACACGAAGAAACGACGCTGTACACCGTACAGTGTACGGGAACGTGTACAATTTCCACGCGTCACGTTCTACTCGACGATCTTCGAACTTCCAATTGAGTTCCATACAAGGAGAAACTAGTGCCGAAATTGAACGCGTTTTTCTGATAGACTTTTGTTCCATTTTTTTCGTTGCTTTCATTTAGTTTTCGTTTCGAGGAACTTTTCGCGGATTTTCATTCGTAAAAAGTGGTTCAATTGGATTTTCGTTTTGACGAATTTCTTTTGTGTTTTCATTCGTAAAAACTGGTAGACAGATATTGATTCGTGTTCTTCTTTTTTAAGTTACTTATTTTTTCTTGTCTTCCTTTGGAGTACTTTTAGCAGATTTTTACGAATGGAATATAGTAAAATGTTTGTTGCTTGGTGTTTCGTTTAATTGGAAAATTGTTTGTTTCTTAATTATTCGATTTTCTTTGAATTTTTAGGTTCGAAGGACTCTTCGGTGAAAAGTGTACGAAATAGGGTATAAAAATGTTGCCTCACGTTTCTCTTTCTGCTCGCCTTAAATACCAGTCATCCGTAAACCTGCATTTCAGTTTTTATTCTGAAGGATGTTTTAAGGGATTCTGACCCGTGAAATTGACGCTTTGTCTTCGCCCTCTGTTCATTTTAAAGGTTAGATAATTTTGAATATATATTTTTTTAAAGAGACGCTCTCGAAATGGAAGTTTCTTTATTTTAGCTCGTTATCTGTGTACAGAGATGTTGGCTTAGGTCTCTGTTTTCTCATTTTGTGAAAGTGAATGTGGGAAAGTTTTAATTTGAACTAACGCGGATGAAAGGATGAACAAGTCATTGTCCGAGTTTTAACCAAATCTGAATTCGCTTCACTAGCATGTGACATTTGCTATTAAAAATGTTATTCGCTCTTATTAAAGAGTGTGATTCGCATCTCGTTGAAATTAGCTGTGATTAATTGAATATTTTAGATCCTTTTATATCTTCACATCTGATTTTTGCAACGATTTATTTTCTTTTCTGTTTTTTTTTTTATTATCCAGCCAGAGATTTTAACGATTTAGTTTATTTTCTGCCTTTCTTTACGATCGATAGATTTTTTCTTTTCTGTTTCATATTACAATTGAGAGATTTTAACTTTCGCTTTTCTTTTCCTTATTTTATTGCAATCGAGGGATTTTAAGGATTGATTTTTCCTGTTTTTTTATTATGATCGAGAGATTTTAGCGATTGATTTCCTTTTCCTTATTTTGTTACGATCGAGAGATTTTAACTTTCGATTTCCTTTTCCTTATTTCATTACAATCGAGAGAATTTAAGGATCGATTTTTTCTGTTTTTTTATTATGATCCAGAGATTTTAACTTTCGATTTCCTTTTCCATATTTCATTACAATCGAGAGATTTTAACTTTCAATTTTCTTTCCGTATTTTATTACATTTTCTATTTTTTATTACAATCGGGAGATTTCAAGGATTGATTTTTTCTCTTTTTCATCACGATCGCGAGATTTCAGATCTTCGTATATAACTTTCAATAAATTCGAAACACGAAATGCATGAATTAATCGATGGGTATACAAACTAGATGTGATAAATCGAGTGAGTGGAGAAACCGTGGATATCGCGTATGCACAGATGTGGCTTCGACTTAATGCTTAGCAACGCTTGGCAACACGTAAAGTATCAGCTATGCGGAAATTCCTCAGAAAAATCGCAATTGAAACTCCACGGAAAATGAACTTTACTCTAGAAAGATTTAATTTGATTCATTTGAATGAACGAAATTACATAATTTCAGAGCTTCCGCAACTTCTAATTATTCGTTATGAAATATTCAGCGATAATAACGGAAGAGATTTATTCGCAGCGATTTTTAAAGGGGAAACGACGATTTGCAAAGTGGAAAATTCGAGTAGTATAAGTCGAAAAGAACGAGCAGAAGATTCCTGAGTAATTCGTATGTATACGTGTCGCTGCAACGTAATGAGAAAGCTGGGAAACTTTGTACCACGCTTTAGCGGAACGTCATTACAAAGATTGCTGCAATTAGATCCTCTTAGAGACTGGATTTTTCTCCTGGAAGCGAGAATTTCCTTCATTAATTTTTATTTGATTCGAGAATATTACATTGTCTGGGCTCGTTGAATCCGCTGAAAGTTGCTACTTCGCGTTTTTTCATTGGAAAAAAGGAGAAAAAGAAAAAAAAAAGGAAAACGTATATCTAACTTTCGCGACATACAATCTACCTAATGGGTTTTTTTCAATTTAAGAGTAATGCGGAATTTATGCAAGTCAACGTGAAATACAAAGTTAAATTGCTCTGTTTGCCGATGTTAAACGAGAAGAACACTTTGTTGTATAGATTTTCAAGTGAAAAAATTAAAAACACATAGATATGGTGTCTGAAATTCACATTTAATTAGCAAAATTTATGCTATTGACTAGTATTCGATACTCAATTTTTCAGAATTTAGATATCATATGGAAAATCGAAATTTAATTGAGGAATATTCGATATTTCAATTCTTTCAAATTTTTTTCATTAATAATTTCAATGGACCCATAATAAATTGAAATTTAATTAACGAATATTCGATATTTCAATTCTCTGAAATTTTATTTATCAGTAATTTTAATCGAACCACACTAAACTCAAATTTATTTAACAAAATTTATGCTATTAACAAATATTCGATACTCAGTATTTCAAAATATAGATATATGCAAAATCGAAATTTAATTTTTTCAAATTTTTTTCATTATTAATTTCAATGGACTCACAATAAATTCGAAATTAATTAGAAAAATTTATGCCAATAACAAATATTTCAAAATATAGATATCACTGGGAAAATCGAAATTCAGTTAACGAATATATTCGATATTTCAATTCTTTCAAATTTCACTCATTGCTAATTTCAGTCGAACCATAACAGATAAAGTGAGTAACATGTTGTATTTAGAGAGTTAGCAGGTATCTTGCAGTTATCGAGGTTGCAAAACCTTGGTAACTTAACACACGAGTTAGGTAACGAAACTTGAAACGCGAAATCAAGAGGTTAATTGAAGACTCTAGTAAGCTGAATGGTATAAATTGAGGAAAGTAAGTCGAGGAATCGCCTGGTATCGTGTGTGCACACGGCTTGCTACAACTTAATCGGCAACCTGCAAAGTTCAAAATGTCATTTACCGGAACGCCGTTAGAGAGGTAGTCCGCGATCGAAGCCTTTAAAGACTGAATCCTTCTTTCACTAGCGAGTGTCGCTTTAGCTACCACTGCGTTATTTCATTTTCTCCCTTTGTGTCGCTAATCTACATTGTATTTGCTGCTCTGTTTCAAACTCCCAACAGTTACATCGAAGCGTGAGAAAAGTAGAACGCTCGATAAATTTTGCAAATAAAAAAACAACTGAACTTCCTGATCTAATTTTTTTAAATTTTCATTTTTGGAACAGTCCTTTTTTCAATGCTTCTTCACTACAAAATTTTCTAGTTAAAATAATCACTTTTGAATTTACTTAAATTTAAAATCATCGACTTTTCTTAAAATCAAAATTCTTGCGAAGCACTTACTTCGTTTACGATTTCAAAAAAAAATGTACCGAACTGTACCTTTCTGATTTGATTTTTTAAATTTTCATTTTTGGAATTTTCGCCTTTTTCCCAATACTTTTTCACTGCAAACTTTTGTATATAAAATAATTCACCTTGAGTTTACTTAAATTTGAGACCGTCTATTTTGCCTAAAATCAAAATTCTCACGAAGCACTTACATCGTTTACCATTTCGATTCCTCCATTCGTATTCCCTTTTCAAATCTACATACGATTGCAGCGGTAAATTGGTAACAATTCGGTCGAAGACAATTTAAGTTCGGGCATTAAAATACACCGAAAGCCGTAGAATTTGAGCGCGGTACACCGGGAAACATGAGCAGAGAAATTGCAGATTTCGCGTGCGACTCTGCTGAGTAATCTAAGGTTGTTTGTGCGAGTACGCGATATCAGCGTTGTATTATGAATTGATGGTGAAATATGATATCAGCCACGACAATGTAAAATAACAGCCGAAATCTCGAAATCAACTCTTTTTTACGAGAGTTAGCCCTTGAATTTCTTGCCCGAGATGATTATCGACTTTTCCTACCACTTAACTATTTTTGACAAGTTAAGTGTCCTCTAGCGGTAGAACTTTCTTTTTTTAATAAGTGGACGGTGATAGAAATCGGTAGAGTGACGTGTCTTGCGTTATTTTTCGTTCCTGCTAACTCTAATCTTGAACAGTGATTTTACTGGAAACATGCTTCTTGCAATTATCAATTATTTAGAAATATTATCTAACACTTCCAGCACTGCATACATTTTTTTTTAGTTTTTTCTTCGTGATTCTTTATTCTTCGTTGGTGTAAAATTGTACGACATATTATAATATTATTTGTAGAATATATAATAGTTTCGAAATTCGAACGCTTGAAAGCGTATTATTAGATATACTGTTGTTTAAGTACTCTTATGCGTGTATGCAGCGAATGTATCGTAGTTGCACCGCGCTATGCATACGAGTTTTTTTTTTGCCAACGTGATTACAATTCAAAGCACATACCTGAGCTTTGCACGGAATACGTAAAAGAGTCACGGTTGTCACAAAATATGACTTATTCATTGCAATTATTTACCCTTAACATACTCACTATCTTTTTGCGAATTACGATACGAGAAGCGTGTAGCGTTTATTCGGAATTATTAAGATAACGCGTTGCAAAGGGCCGTAAAGTGTCTTAAATATCCCCAATTAAATGCAGTAAACCGTGTAATGATACATAAAATTGAATAACAATTTTAACGCGCAGAAAAATATTGAAGCCTCCAGAAAAAGAATATATATATACTACCGGCGAAAAGTTTGGAATCACC